TTCCCCTCCCCCATTTCTCAAGAAGGGTCTAGGCCCAAAACGTCAGCCTTCCTGCTCCTCTGATGCTGCTTGGCCTGCTGTGTTCATCCAGCTCTACATCTTGTTATCTCAGTCCACTCCTGCTCCTTTGTTTTATGTTTTAATGCATGGAGTAGAATCTATTTTAAATGAGCTTGTAGTCAAAAGGTTTCATTATGAATCTGTAACAAAAGTCATCTAAGCTAAAATTCTGTTGATGATGTCAAACATTTTGTTGGCACAGCAATAGGTTATGAAAAATAAGCAATAATCTGTAAGAACTGTTTTTCATTGAATTTGTTTCTCAAAATTACACTGTTTATGAAATACTCATTATAAAAGTGAGATTTAGAGTTACCATCTGGAGCTAGGCATGCAATAATGGATGGTAGAAAATCCAACTGCCTCATTGATTTTCGAACTTCACCTGAAAAAAGATGAAAACATCAGTAGGAAAGAAAATAAATTAACAGCTCTAAATATTTTAGTCACTTTATCAAAGGAGAACAGTTGCAACCAAAGGCTATTTTAGTCGAAGACATTACAAATACCTACTCAAAAAGAGAGTAGCATTTTAACATGGAGCAGTGTGTGTGTGTGTTTCAGTCTTGCATTAGAGTAGCCAAAAATGCAAATGTGTTCAGAAATCTGCTCCAATAAGCTGATTACCAATTCAGGCATCTTCAACGTATTGTGTGCAACCCAGATCAGAAATATATATGTGCTAACTGTTCCATGAAAAAGTGTTATTTCAATGCACAACTGAATTTAACAAAGCTTCCACGGTTTTATGTTCTTTATGAAACTATCCCTTGAAATCAAGGTACGCATACAACAGTTCATGGGTCTCATTATATCAGGCAAATGTTTCCATAAATAATCAGTGCTCTCATCAGCTTTCTTATCTACCACTGGAAAAGGTTTGTTCAAAATAGTTGCAGTGTAACAGTCGTTTCTAAACTTTGTAGAAATCCAGACTCACAATAGGATGGGTGGCATCTTATTTGCTTACATTGGGCGTTAGACAATGCACAATAGCAACATACAGCTGTTAGGAAATTTACAGAGCGGGGAGCAGAAGAAGAGTCAAATTTGATGGTACTACCCACATAACAGGGTATGTAAGCACAGGTTTAACTTCCACAACCTTTAGAAAGAGGAGTGTTACTAGAGACTCAGATGCTTGAACCAGGTGGTGAAAGACATTTGCAGCCTCTAGGAGACATCCTCCCTGGTGGACCTACTGGCTATTCAACAGTGACTGTGCAAGTGTCCACTGTCCTCCAACAACACTCAAGAAAGCTTGCTATCATCTGAAACAAAACAACCTGTTTAGTTGGCACCCCATAAACCACCTTAAATAATCACTCCTTTCAACACTGGTACACTTAGTCTATGTTATCCATAAGGGCACAGACTTCCCGTGGTAACAAAAAAAGGCAGCTACCACTTCTATGTGCAACGAAGGACCAAGCCATGTTTACTGAGGCAGACTGGATGAGACGATGGTGAAAAATAACAGTTTTGGGAATAGACTTCACAAGTACAGGAATCTGTGGTAGCAAATCAACAGATAATGAGGACTGAGTGTATGCACCATCCACAAAACACTCTGCAAAATCTCACCAAGGTTCCTTTGACAGCACCTTCCAAGCCTGTGACCTCTCCTGACCAGAAAGTCAAAGGTAGTAAACACAAGGGAACACCATCAGCTCTGAATCCTCCTTTAAATCACACAGCATCTTGACTAGGAACTATATTGCTGTTCCTTCATCGTCACCTATAACTCGCTTCCTAACAGTGCTGTGGACAAAAGAATGTAAGAGCCAGGAACTGGAGTACGCAATTCAGCCCTTCAAGCTTGCCCCACCATTCAATATGATCATGGCTGATCTCATCCTGGCCTCAATTCAGATGCACCATTGAAAGCATACTGTCCAGGCGCAAAACAGATGCAACTGCTCTGCCAAAACCATAAGAAACTACAGAAGGTTGTGTGCACAGCCAAGACTATCACGGAAGCCAACCTTCCATCCATGGACTCTATTTACACGGCTCGCTGCCACGGAAAGGTGGCCAACATCATCAAAGACCCATCGCACCCTGGTAATGACCTCCTACAACCTCTTCTGTCAGGCAGAAGATACAGAAGTCAAAACACATGGACAAGCAGGTTCAGGAACAGCTTCTTTCCGGCCATTATCAGACAAGTGAATGGGCTCTAGCCTCAAATAATGTAAACTGTATGCCTCTTAAGTCTTTTTGATCTGCACATCCTTTGCTTGCTGTGATCTGCCTGTGCCGCTCATAAACAAAGCTTTTCACTGTAATTCGGTACACGTGACAATAAAATCAATCAATCAATCAAATCCACTTTCCTGCTCATTCTCCATCACCCTTCAAGCAATTACGAATTAAAAATCTATCTTTTCCTTAAATTTACTCAATATTCCAGCAGCCACTGCACTCTGGCATTGTGAATTCCACAGATTCAGACTCTTTGAGAGAAGTAATTTCTCCTCACCTCTGTTTTAAACCTGCTATCCCTTATGCTAAATCCATGAGCTCTCATTCTAAATTGTCCCAAATGAGGAAGCTTTCTATAACTACGTTGCCAATCCCATTCAGCATCTTATGTACCTCCATGAGATCTCTTGAAAGAATTCTGAAGGTGATAACTGAGGAGATTGCACAGGCATTGGTGGTGATCTTTCAGGAATCACTGGAGTCAGGGAAGGTCTCAAATGACTAGAAAATGGCTAATGTAACATCCCTAGTTAAGAAGGGAGCGAGGCAGAAACAGGACACTATAGGCCAGTTAGCCTGAACTTGGTTGTTGTTGCTAAGTTTACAAATGACACAAAGATAGGTGGAGGGACGGGTAGTATTGAGGAGGCAGGGAGGCTGCAGAAGGACTGGACAGGCTAGAGGAGTAGGCAAAGAAGTAGCAGATGGAATACAATGTGGGAAAGTGTAAGGTTATGCACCTTGGTAGGAAGAATAGAGAGGTAGACTATTTGCTAAATGGGGAAGGGCTTTGGAAATGTTAAATACGAAGGTACTTAGGAATCCAAGTACAGGATTCTTTTAAAGTTAACAGGCAGGTTCAATTGGCGGTTAGGAAGGCAAATGCATTCATTTCAAGAAGGCTAGAATACAAGAGTAGAGATGTACAGCTGAGGCTGTATAAGGCTCTGGTTAGACTGTATTTGGAACATTATGAGTGGCTTTAGGTCCAGTATCTGAGGAAGGGTGTGCTGACATTGGAGGGAGTCCTCAAGAATGATTCCAGGAATGACAGGCTTGTCATATGAGGAGTGGTTGAGGACTCTGGGTCTGTACTGGATGGAGTTTAGAATGAAAAGGGTGAGGGGCAATCTAATTGATGTGATTTGATTTGATTTATTATTGTCATATGTACCTAGGTACAGTGAAAAGTTTTGTTTTGCGTGCAGTACAGGCAGATCATGCAATACAAAGTGTATGGGATAATAGAACAGAGCAAGGAATACAATGTTACAGCTGCAGAGAAAGTGCACAGCAGGGAAGAATTTGTTCTTGAATCCATTGGTACATATCTTTAAGCTTTTGTATCTTCTGTCTGATGGAAGAGTATAACTGAGGTGGGAGGCGTCTTTGATTATGTTGGCTGCCTTTCCAAAGCAGCGAGAAGCATAGATGGAGTCAATGGATGAAAGGTTGGCTTGCATGATGGACTGGGCTGTGTTCACAACTCCCTGTAGTTTCTTGCGGTCTTGGGCAGAGCAGTTGCCATACCAAGCTGTGATGCATCCAGATGGAAACTGGCAGAAAACTGAGAGGCCTGGATAGAGTGGTCGTGGAACAGATGTTTCCAACAGTAGACGAGACTAGGACCCAAGGGCACAGCGTTAAAGTGAAGAGACGAAACTTTAAAACTGAGATGAGGAGGAATTTCTTCAGCCAGAAGGTGGTTAATCTGTGGAACTCATTGCCACAGAGGGCTGTGGAGCTAAATGTCACTGAGTGTACTTAAGACAGAGACAGGTTCTTGACTGGTCAGGGGATAAAGGGTGATGGGGAGAAGATAGGAGAATGGGATAGAGAAACATATCTGCCATGGCGTAGCAGATTCAATGGATCAAATTATGGGTCATTTATATAAATGATTTGGATGTGAACATTGGAGGTATGGTTAGTAAGTTTGCAGATGACACCAAAATTGGAGGTGAGGTGGTGCATTTTGGAAAAGCAAATCAGGGCAGGACTTATGCACTTAATGGTAAGGTCCTGGGAGTGTTACTGAACAAAGAGACCTTGGAGTGCAGGTTCATAGCTCCTTGAAAGTGAGGTTGCAGGTAGATAAGATAGTGAAGAAGGTATTTGGTATGCTTGCCTTTATTGGTTAGTGCATTGAGTGTAGGAACAAGAACAGAAGTTGCTGGAAAAGCTCAGCAGGTCTGGCTGCATCTGTGAAGAAAAAATCAGTGTTAATGTTTCGGGTCCAGTGACCCTTCCTCAGAGGGTCTGTTCTGAGGAAGGGTCACCGGAGCCGAAACGCTAACTCTGATTTTTTTACTTCACAGATGCTGCCATACCTGCTGAACTTTTCCAACAACTTCTGTTTTTGTTCCTGATTTACAACATCCACAGTTCTTTCTGTATTCATTGAATATAGGAATTGGGAAGTCATGTTGCAGCAGTAAACGACATTGGTTATGCCACTTTTGGAATACTGCATACAATTCTGGCCTCCCTGCCATAGGAAGGATGTAGTGAAATTTGAAAGGGTTCAAAAAAGATTTACAAGGATGTTGCCAGGGTTGGAGGGTTTGAACTATAGGGAGAGGCTGAATAGACTGTGGCTATTTTCCCTGGAGCAACGAAGGCTGAGGGGTGACTTTATAGAAGTTCATAAAATCATGAGGGGCATGCGTAGAGTAAATAAACAAGGTCTATTCCCTGGGGTAAGTGAGTCCAAAACTACAGGTCACAAGTTTAAGGTGACAGTGGAAAGATTTAAAAGGGACCTAACAGGCAACTTTTCACACAGAGGGTGGTGCACGTATGGAATGAGCCGCCAGAGGAAGTGGAGGAGGCTGGTACAATTACAACATTTAAAAGGCATCTGGATGGGTAAATGAATAGGAAGGGTTTAGCAGGACATAAGCCAAATGCTGGCAAATGGGGCTGGATTTATTTAGGATTTCTGGTCAGCATGGATGAGTTGGCCGGAAGGGTCTGTTTCAATGCTGTATACCTCTATGACTCTAGTACTCTAATTCTGCTCCTACATCTTATGGTCCTCTCATTCTTCGACAATCTAAAGCATGTAGGCCTAAATTGCTCTTCGTAATCTCTCTTCAAAAGACAAAGCCCTCATGAATCAATCTACTGAATATCCTCTGAACTGCCTCCACTGCAGCTACATCCCTCTCAAGGAAGGGGACCAAAGCTGTGTACAATACTCCAGGTGCATCTGACTAATGCCTTGTACAGTTGCAGCAACACTTCCCTACTTTTATCCTCTATTCCTTTTGCAATAAATGCCAAAATTCCATTTGCCTTCCTTATTACGTGCTGTGCCTGTACACTGATTCTCTGTAATTCATGCACAAGGACATCCGGAAATCCGTGATTTCTCTCTATTTAGACAATAAGTTGCCTTTCCATTTCTCTGACAAAAATGTGTTTTTTTATTTGTTCACAGGATGAGGGTGTTGTTGGCTAGGCCAGCATTTATTGCCCATCCATAATTGCCCAGAGGGCAGTTAAGAGTCAACCACATTCCTATAGGTCTGGAGTCACATATAGGCCATACCAATAAGGATGGCAGTTTCCTTCCCTAAAGGACATTAGTGAGCCAGATGGACTTTTCCTGACAATCAACAATGGATTCATGGTCATCCCTAGGTTCTTAATTCCAGATATTTATTGAATTCAAATTCTACATCTGCCATGGCAGGATTTGAACCCTGGTCCCCAGAACATTATCTGGGTCTCTGGATTAACAGTCCAGCAATTATACCCTTAGGCCATGGGCTCCCCTTGTTCACTGACACTCATTCACAATAGCAGGCAATAGCCTAGTGGTATTATCACTGAACTGTTAATCCAGAGACCCAGATAACATTCTGGGGACCCGGGTTTGAATCCCGCCATGGCAGATGGTGGAATTTGAATTCAATAAAATATCTGGAATTATGAATCTAATGATGACCATGAATCCATTGTCAATCATTGGAAAAACCCATCTCATTCACTAATGTCCTTTAGGGAAAGAAACTGCCATCCTTGCCTGGTCTGGCCTACATGTGATTCCAGATCCACAGCAATGTGAACTCTGAACTACCCTCTGGGCAATTAGAGATGGACAATAAATGCTGCCTAGCCAGTGATGTCCTCATCCTGTTAATGAATAATGGGAAAAAAAACTTAATCTGCCAAAGTTTGGCCAATACATCTAACCTGTTCATATCATTGCAATTTATTATCCCACCTGTTTTAGTACATTCTATCCCTGCATCCAAGTCATTAATATAGATTGTAAACAGCTTGGGCCCTGTTGTACCACACTAGTTACATCTTTCCACTTCCTTTAAGACCCTAGGTTATTGGACATCAGGCACGTGTCTGTCTTCAATCCCAATAGCTTTCTCATTACCATTTCCCTGGTGATGATGATTGTTACAAGTTCCTCCCTTTCTATAACCTCTGCAACAGGTTGGTACTGCCATTCTGCACAGTGAAAATTGATGCAAAATATTTAATGACTCGTTTGTGTTCACCACCATTTACTCTCCAGTCTAATCCCCTAAGAGATCAACATTTACTTTAGCTAATCTCTTCCCTTTTATATATTTAGAGAAGTTTTGCTATCCATTTTTATATTTTGTGCTAGTTTTCTTTCCTAATTTATGTTTGCTCTTTTTATGGCAGTTTTGTTGATCCTTCCCAATCTTCCAGAATGTTACTGGCCTTTTTGTAAAATGTCTTAGGTTTTAGCTTTGTACAGTCATAGAGTCAGACAGCATGGAAACAGACCCTTCGGTCCAACCAGTCCATGTTGATCATAATCCCAAAACTAAACTATGCCCACCTGCCTGTACTTAACCCATAATTATCCAAATATTTCTTATTCATGCACTTATCCAAATGTCTTTTAAACAATGTAACTGTGGATACACCACTTCCTCTGGAAGTTCATTCCATACACGAAACACTCTCTGCAAAAAGGTTGCTGCTCATGTCCTTTATAAATCCTTCTCCACTCACCTTAAAAATATGTCCCATAGTTTTGAAATCCCCCACCATAGGAAAAGACATCTGCCATTCACCTTATCCATACCCCTCATGATTTTATAAACCCTATAAGATCACTCCTCAATCTTCTACGCACTGTGAGAAAAGTACCAGCCTACCCAACTTCTCCTCATAATGAAACTTTCCATGCCCAGCAACATCCTGGTATTATTTTTTTTTGAACCCTCTCCAGTTTAATAATATCCTTCCTATGACAGGGGCAACCATAACTGGACACAGTACTCCAGAAGAGGCCTCACCAACGTCCTGTACAACCTAAATATGACATCCTAACTTCTATACTCAAAGGTATATTATTTTTAACTTCCTTGCTTTACCATGGATGCTTTTTCAATATTTTATAATCATTCTTCTTTTCTAGAATATATTTCCGTTGGGAGTAATTGACCTAGCGCACAATGCACTGCAACAGTTCGAGAAGGCAGCCCTACATCACTTTATCAAGACATTAGGGAATGCGCAAAAATTCTGTTTTTTCCCAAGATGCTCAAATTCGAAAACAAAATTTTCGAAACAATCAGAAGGGGCAAAAACATGCTGGATATGGGTTCCAACACTTCTTCTTCTTAGGAATCCCTTCAGATTGAGGAAGACTTGATTTCACTTTGGCTCAATGGGTTCTAACATCTCTATTAAGTCTGATGAACAATGTGCACTCTGTCACATGTGGGACAGATGGTAATTGAATGGTCTGGTACACAAGTGGTGTAGCAGTTTGTGCTCGTTACCTGATGCTTTGACTTAGTTTCTGTGTATTTCCAAAATCCCTTGTGTTCAGTAACTTCCAGAATTGACCTCTACTTCGGCTTGTCATAAACTGTGGACTACCATAAATCAGTAGGGATATTTGACCTCTTCAGGGATACTTTGTGGACATGTCAAAACATTTCTGCTGCTGTCTTAGGAGTCTCCTGCTCCAACTGGGTTCCAAATGGAGCTCTGGTAGTCGGTGTCAGGCAATCAAACATGTCCTTCAGAGCTGGATTTGAGTGATTAGTAATTTGCAGATGGGCACGTTGGCTTGGAAGAGAATGTTATTTGTTGGACCACCTTTCTTCTTGCCACTGGATTTGGATAATCTTGCAAAGGGACTCTGGTGATATTTCTCCAGTGCTTTGAGGTGCCCGTTGTAGGTTAGCCAAGTTTCTAAAACTTAGCAGGAAGAGGAATACTATCATCCAGTAAACCACAAGATTCTGGTCTTCAAATAATCTTTACCTCAGCTGGCCAAAGCGTTAGCTAGAACACTGGAAGTGACAATGAATTTTGTTGTGTATGTTTGCCTTCATTGAGAGGAGGTTCCCAACAGATGTAAAATGGTCTATAGTTTTCAGGATCTCACCTTTGAATATAATTGTTGAAAAGGCTTATGGAGTGTCCTCTCCAAAATCAGGGTGCCATCAAAAATTTGTTGCCACTTCCACCTAGTCTACAATGACACTCCTCTCCAGCAGAATCATCATAGATCTTATTTTCATGAAAAACAGAGTCAAACAAAGCTGTGACATTGCATCAATGCAGTGTCATAGAGATGTACAGCATGGAAACAGACCCTTCGGTCCAACCCATCCATGCCGAACAGATATCCTACATTAATCTAGTCCCATTTGCCAGCATTTGGCCCATATCCCTCTAAACCCTTCCTATTTGTATACCAATCCTGATATCTTTTAATCTTGTAACTGTACCAGCCTCCACCACCTCCTCTAGCACCTCATTCCATACATGCACCACCCTCTGCGTATCTTCCTTGCTGCAATATTCACCTTCAGAAAATTCCCCACAGTCATGGAGATAATTCACAGAATAGACAAGAAAGTGTTTAATTATGCTGCCTTCAACCCAAAACTGAAATCATCCCAACTTCAGTCATTGAGCTCCAGCATGTAGATGATTCTTCTATGTGCGCTCAGTAGCTCCAGGTCATTGTCAGCACTTTCTCTGAATCATATGAAAAAAATGGACCTTTCATTAAAAGCTCATTCTGTCATGCAAGGCAGGGCAACTGTTTCCTTTCAGTTAAACTGAACTCTCATTAAGTTGAAGTTTATTCATCATTTAAATCATGTCGCTAACAAAAACAAACTTGTCTGATAAGCAATCTCTCTATCACCGCGTTTTCAGCCTCTCTTAACAGTACTACTATGCTATTGCTTCTCTTAGCTTTTTGTTTTGTTTCTTCTAAATTTCAACAATACCTTCTGCTAACAATAGCAATAATCATGACAAAATGAAGATTAATAATTTTCTACAATCAGTCTTTCCTTGAATGCAAAATGTGCTGGCTATCTCCTTCAGTCTTTCTCCTACAATATTTTTAATTTTCAAACTAAGCTATCTCTTGATTTATTTTGAACTCTGTTTTTTATTCTTCTCAATTTTAATCATGTCTGTCACTAAGGGCTTCAGTTATTTTGATCCTTGCTTTCCCCAAGGTCATTAGATATAATCATAGATACTTACTATTGGTTGCCATCACTCCAAATCCCATGGTAGCATACATATGGATTTGTTTGTCATCATGGGATATTAATTTAGCTAATTTTGGAACAGCTCCAAGGGCCAGGAGAATCATTTTGTTTTCATCACCTACAACAAAAAACACACTATCATCTGTTATGCCAATCTTAAAACATATCAACAATTTAATTCTACTAATTTAAACATAATAATAAATACATTGTGATTAAAACAATCTCATGAAGTGAGTTGATTAGATTCAAATTTTTTCTCTTTCAGAAGGGTAGCAGTCTGGACTTTGATTTATGAAATTATATGGGTCAATTTTCCTCACTGATCGGCCTGAAATTGTTATGAAGGCTTCATACTTAATTTTTTAACCATTTGAGTTTTGAAGGGCATTGAATAAATCACATTTAAACTTCGGACCACTTTGTTTTAACAAGAATTTCTTGGAAACTATATACTTTCAGCTAATTACAATTGTAATTCCAACAATATGATTGAAGCTCTGTGCTCCAGAATTTGCAGCACCCCTAGCCAAGCTGTTCCAGTACAGCTACAATACAAGCATTTACCCAGCAATGTGGAAAATTGCCCAAAAATGGCCTGTATAAAAAGCAGGACAAATCCAACCTAGCCAATTATCGCCCAACAGACTATTCTCGATCGTTAGTAAAATGATGAAATATGTCATCGACAACGCTATCAAACAACACTTGCTTAGCGACAACCTGCTCCCTGATGCCCACTTTGGGTTCCACCAGCGCCACTCAGCTCCTGGCCTTATTACAGCCTTGGTTCAAACATGGACCAGAGAATGGAATTCCAGAGATGAGGTGGGAATGACAGCCCTAGACATCAATGCCACATTTGACCAAGTGTAGCATCAAGGATCCCTGACTAAACTAGAATTAATGGGAATCTGGGGGCTCTCCACTGGTTGAAGCCATAACTGGCGCATTGTAGGAAGATGGCTATGTTTGTTGAAGGTAAGTCATCTCAGCTCCAGCACATCTCTGCGGACGTTCCTCAGTGTTCTATACCCAACCATCTTAAGCTGCTTCATCGATAACCTTCCCTCCATCATAAGGTCAGAAGTGGGGATGTTCAGCAATGATTGCACAATGTTCAGCGCCATTTGCGACTCCTCAGATATTGAAGCAGTCCTGTTCAAATGCAATAAGACTTGAACAATGCCGAGGATTGGGCTGACAAGTGGTAAGTAACACTCGTGCCACAAAAATGCTAGGCAATGACGACCTCCTATAACAGACAATCTGACCACCAACCTGTGACATTCAATGGTGTTACCATTACTGAATCCCCCACTATCAACTTCCTGGAGGTTACATTTGACCAGAAACTCAATTGGTCTCACATTCTGGGTTTGCCATATAAATACAGTGGCTATCTGAACAGGTCACATTCTAGGAATACTACAGCGTTAAATGCACCTCCTGACTCCTCAAAGTCCACCATTTATAAGGCACAAGTCAGGAGTGTGGAGAAATATTTCCCACTTGCTTGAATGAGTACAGCTTCAATAACACTTGAAGAGCTTGATATCATCCAAGAGAAATCAGCTCACTTGGTTGCCATCATATCCACAAGCATCCATTCCCTCCACCAGCAATGTTCAGTAGCAGCAGTGTGTACTATCTACAAGTTGCACTGCAGAAATTCACCAAAGATCTTTAGACAGTACCTTCCAAACCCACAACCATTTAGAAGGTCAAGGGCAACAGATACATGGCAACACCACCGCCAGGAAGGTCCCTCCAAGGCTCTCACCATTTTAACTTGGAAACATATTTCTTTAGTGTTGCTGGGTCAAAATTCTGGAATTCCCTCCCTAACAGCATTGTGGGTCAACCTGCAGCATGTGGACTGCAGTGGTTCAAGAAGGCAGCATGCCACCACATTCTCAGGGGCAACTAGGAACAGGCAATTAATGTTAACCAGCCAGCTACGTACACATCCTACGAATGAATAAAAAATGTCCACTGGTTGGCGGAGACTCTGGGGTCCAGTGATCTTCCATTTGGTTATACTGCTGCGCAGATGGAATTCCAAATCATTTTTTTTTCTTATTCATTAACAGGATGAGGACATTGCTGGCTAGGCAGCATTTATTGTCCATCCTTAATTGCTCAGAGGGCAGTTCAGTCAACCACGTTGCTGTGGGTCTGGAGTCAAATATGGGACAGACCAGGTAAAGATGGCAGTTTCCTTCTCTAAAGGGCATTAGTGAATCAGGTGGGTTTTTCTGACAATCAACAATGGATTCATGGTCATCATTAGATTCTTAATTCCAGATATTTTATTGAATTCAAATTCCACCATTTGCCGTGGCGGGATTCGAGCCCGGGTCCGCAGAATGCCATCCAGGTCTCTGGGTTAACATCGGCAGATCTTACTCTCTCTGGATTAACAGTCCAGCAATAATACCACTAGGCCACTGCCTCCCCAGTATGCCCAGACCTCAAGAACTTATTTTAATAGCCTGGGGTCTAGGCCCGAAACGTCAGCCTTCCTGCTCCTCTGATGCTGCTTGGCCTGCTGTCTTCATCCAGCTCTACACCTTGTTATCTCATTATTTTGATTTAGTTCCCTCCTTATTTTCCTTCCCTTTTGGTTTTTGTATTATTTGTCTTTGTTACTGCCCCCTTGTGGACGCTGCTTGTTAGTTATTACTTATTTAATAGTTTAATTAGCTAATTTGGTGGTGGGTCTTTCAAAAGAATTTTCTTACAGTTAAATAGAGAATTTATGGCTCCTGTGGCACATTGGTAGTGTTCCTACTTCATAGGCCAAAGGACCCTGATCTACCTTGGAGATAGTACATACTGTTCTACTGAGTGTCGGTGGTGGAGCTTGTGGATGCTTATGGATATGGTACCCATCAAGCAGGTTGTTATGTCCTGGATGGTGTCAAGCTTCTTGAGGGTTGTTGGAGCTGCACCTATTCAGGAAGTGAGGAGTGTTCCATCACACTACTGACTTGTGCCTTCTGTAAGGTGGACAAGGCTCTGGGGAGTCAAGTGGTGAGTTACTCGCTGCAATATTCCTAGCCTTTGACCTGCTCTTGTAGCCACTGTATTTGTGTGGCAAGTCCAGTTGAGTTTCTGATGAATGATGATGTCCAGGATGCTGATAGTGGAGTATTCAGTGATGAAACCATTTTACGTCAAGGGGCGGTGGTTCATTTTCTCTTATTGGAGATGATCTTTACCTGGCATTTGTGTGGCACGAATGTTATTGACCACTTGTCAGCCCAAGTCTGGATATTGTCCAGATCTTGTTACATTTGAACATGGACTGCTTCAGTATTTGAGGAATCATAAATGGTCCTGAATGTTGTATAATCATCGGCCAACATCCCTACCTCTGACCTTACGATGGAGGGGAGGTCATTGATGACACAGCAGATAATGGTTTTGCCTAGGACACTATGCTGAAAAACTCCTGCAGATGTGTCCTGGAGCTGAGATGATTGATATCCAACAACCCCAACCATCTCCCTATATTCCAGATAAAAACCAAAAGAATTGCAGATGCTGTAAATCAGGAACAAAAACAAAGTTGCTGGAAAAGCTCAGCAGGTCTGGCAGCATCTGTGAAGGAGAAAATAGAGTTAACGTTTCAGGACCGGTGACCCTTCCTCAATTCTGAGCTTTTCCAGCAACTTTGTTTTTGTCCCTATATTCCAGGTATGACTCCAACCAGCGAAGAGTTTACCCCCAATTCTCAGTGAGTTTAGTTTTACTTGAGCTCCTTAATGCCACACTCCATTTAATGCAGCCTTGATGTTAAGGGTGGTCATTCTCACCACCACCTCTGGAATTCAGCTCCTTTGTCAACGTTTGAATGAATCAAGGCTGTAATGGAGTCAGGAGCTGAGTGGTCCTGGTGAATACCAAACTGGGTGTCACTGAGCAAGTTTTTGCCACGTTATGCTGCTTGATAGCACAATTGATGACACTTCCCATCAATTTTCTGATGACCGAGAGTAGACTGATGAGGTGATAATTGGATGGGGTTGTCCTTTATATTTGCGTACAGGGTATAAGTGGGCAATTTTCCATATTGTTGGTCAGAGGCCAGTGTTGTATCTTACTGGAAGAGCTTGGCTAGGGGAGTGACAAATTCTGGAGTGCAAGTATTCAATACTATTGTTGACATGTTGTCAGGGTCCATAGACTTTGCACTATCCAATACTCCAAGCCCATTGCTTGATATCATGTGGAGTGAATTGAATTGGCTGAAGACTAGTATCTGTAATGCTGAAGAGGCTGAAATGGATCATCCACTTGGCACATCTGGCTGAAGTTTGCTGCGAATACCTCAGCATTATCTTTGCACTTATGTTGGGCTGATCCATCATTGAAGGATATTTGTGGAGCCTCCTCCTCCAATGATCTGTTTAATTGTCCACCACAAATCATGACTGGATGTGACAGGACTGCAGAGCTTCGATCTGATCCATAGCTTGTGGGATCACTTAGCTCTGTCTATCACTTGCTGCTTATGCTGTTCGGCACACAAGTTTGGTAACTGCACCAGGTTGTGCTGGCGTACAACTGCACTGCTGTTGATAGCCCATAGCATCTCATGGATGTCCAGTCTTGAGTTGCTAGATGTGTTCAAACTCTAACCCATTTAGCACAGTGATAGTGCCACACAAAATGAAGGAGATTATTCTCAACGTGAAGGGGAGATTTAGTCTCCACAAGGACTGTGCAGTAGTTATCGATACTATCATAAACAGATGCGCCTGCCACAAACCCAGTCTAGCAGCTACATCCTTTAGGACCTGACCACCTTGATCATTAGTGCTGTTGCTGAGCCACTCATGGTATTGGACACTGAAATCTCCTACCCAGAGTCTATCTTGCACCCTTACCAACCTCAGTGCTTCCTCCAAGTGTTGTTCAACATGGAGGAGCACTGATTCATCAGCCAAGGGAGGATGGTATATGGTGATCAGCAGGAGGTTTCCTTATCCATGTTTAAATCTGAGTCAATGTTGAGGACCCCCAAGACAACTCCGTCCCCACTGTATCGGACTGTGCCGTCACCTCTGCTGGGTCTGTCCTGCCAGTGGGATGATATGTATTCAGGGATGGTGACAGTGGTATCTGGGACATTGTAAGTTTTAATTTGTTAGCATGACTATGTCAGACTGTTGCTTGACTAGTCTGTGACACGACATAGCTCTATCAATAATGGCACTAGACCCCAGATGTTAGTGGGGAGTACTTTGCAGGGTCGACAGGGCTGTTTCTGCTGTTGTCTTTTCCGGTGCCTAGGTCGATTCTAAGAGGTTTGTCCAGTTTCATTTCTTGTTGAGACTTCACAGCAATTTATATAATTAAATGGATTGCTAGGGCAGTTCAAGGTCAATCATATTGCCTTGGGTCTGCAGTCACACGTGGCCAGACCAAGCGAGGATGGTAGATTTCCTTCCCTGAAGGGCAGGAGCCAGATGGATTTTTCTGACAATCAACAATGGTTTCATGGCCATCAGTAGATTCTTAATTGCATATTCTTTTATATATTGAATTAAAATTCCACCTTCTGTCGAGATGGAATTCAAACCCAGTTCCCTAGAACATTAGATGAGTTTCTGCATTAAAAGTCTACATTAATAGGACTGCATTAGATTCAAGCACCATCATTTTCAGGTGACAGATGGCATCGGTTGCAAGTTGGAATTCGATCACTGTCTGCTCACCAACTCCTATGGTAAAATCCAGCTCAAGCCTCCACTACCCAGCACATCCCTGAATCTGGTCACCCATGACCACAACCGTTGTCTCTGTCAGCCACTCGAACCCATAATATTGGAAGTGGAGATTCCTGAGCACTACTCCTGATGGTGGGAAGACATAAGGCCAGCTAACTATATTCCAGGCATTGAAAGGCATTGTACACCCTGAGGAAGATCTGAAGACCATTGTGGTCCGTAAATAGAATTTGCATGTCGTAATTCATGCTGCATACTAATGGAAGAAATATGTCACCAGTGTGCACCATCCAAGAAGAGGCTTGACATCAATTGATCACTGCAGGGTCTGAAGGCAAAAGTCACCAATTGGATACAAGGTATATCAACAACCAACCACATTCCTTAATGGAGAGACTCAGAACCTCTGTAGAAACCCAGTGCATCATCTTGTACCAGAAGAAGATAACCAACATCTTCTGGATTTTTCTGACAAAACAATGGGAGGTCAAAAGAACCAGCCAGTACCACAGCATGTGAGGCAACCAGCTGGTTGATAATCAATGTACAATCCCTGTAAGATAACACTCAGAGCAGTCCTGTCCAGCACCCTCGGCAAGCAAAGACTTTGGTCTCCAGCTCCTGCTGGTTCACCAGCCAGGATTCCTGAGACAGGGCTAAGATAGAATCCCATAAACATCAAGACTTATTGAGAGTCAGTTTTATCTCTTCTTTTTATTCGTTTGTGGGATGCGGGTGTCACTGGCTGGGTCAGCATTTTTTGCCCATCCCTAGTTACTCTTTACGAGGTGTGGTCAGCTGCCTTCTTGAACTGCTGCAGTCCACCTGCTGTGGGTTGATCCACAATGCCCATTAGGGAGAGAATTCCAGCATTTTGACCCAGGGACACTGAAAGAACAGCAATATATTTCCAAGTCAGGATGATGAGTGGTTTGGAGGGGAACTTGAAGATGGTGGTATTCCCATGTATCTGCTGCACTTGTCCTTCGAAGTGGAAGTGATCATGGGTTTGGAAGGTTCTATCTGAGGATCTTTGGTCAATTTCTGCAATGTATCATGTAGATAATACATACTGCTGCTACTGACTGTCAGTGGTGGAGGGAATGGATGTTTGTGAATGTAGTGCCAGCCAAGCAGGCTGCTTTGTTCTGCACGGTGTCAAGCCTCTTGATTGTTGTTGGGGCTGCACTCATCCAGGCAAATGGGGAGTTAGGGTTAGGGTTAGATTTAGATTTATTTAATATTGTCACTTGTACCTGGGTACGTGATAAAGTGGATAATGTCGCCACATTCCAGCACCATCTTGGATTACAGAATAAATTATTGAATAATTTGTATGCGTGGTAAAATACAGAATAATTTAATATAAAATTTATATAACTAAAACTGAAATAGCTTCAAAAGCTTTATATTCCATTCATCGTAGACTTCACCCTCTCTGCTCCTCCATTTGCTACCATCCAAAGTCGTCCCCAGGAAATTGGCAATGTGAATCTTTTCTGCGGCTACTGGTTCCATCGCTTTCACATCTGCTGCTCCCGAGCTGGAGTTAGAGTTAGAGTTAGGGTAGATATTTTTAATCACCTGTTCAGATGTGTCTGACACACTTCTGAAGCAGGTGGTACTTGAACCAGGGTCTTCTAGATCAGAAACTGGGGCACTACCACTGTGTCACAAAAGCCTTTTAACACATCTTAATTTTTATATTTTGTAATCAATTCGTTCAGCAGTGAAATTATTACGCAACTTTAGAGTAGGTAAGACCTGAACCCATGCCTCCTGGCTCAGAAGAAGGGACACTACAACTCCGCCACAAGATGTTTAAATGAGCAATATTCATGCAGAGAGCTAAGGTACCACTTGCCACAAGTGCCCTTAAACTATCTCTATAACTTTAAGGAAATTTGTTTTTAATCACTGAACCTTATCACCCGATGCTATTGATACTTAACTAACATTCTGACTCAAAGCATCAGGTTTTGTTAAGAGGATTACAATCTTGCAAATTTGTGTAAAGTACAGATCCACTGACTTTCCAAAACTAAGTGCCTTAGCATGTTCCATATTAAGTTTCATTTGAAGCCTTGGCACAGGGGATTGACTCAACATTGAGAGTTTTAACTGGAGAATATGTCATCACTTACAAACTGGCTGCCCCAAGTATTTTACATGGAATGACAACTCCTTTTAGTGACGTCACAGTGTTTTGATTGCTAAATCTAAAGTAAGTGGTACTTTTATATTTCTAAGTTTGAATCAATATTCATGACTTGATGGATCAGGATAATATTTCAAATCAGTTCCACAACACAACTCTACTTGCAGTTTGAGTCTAAGGAGATTCACAGGACTAAAATCCTTTGTGACCAATACAATTCAGATTCATCATCTTTATCATGCACTTCTTCAGAATTCTCTTCGTCATGTTCCATTTTGAGCCATTCTGCCTCTTCGCTTTACAATATTCGATCACATAAATGGTACTTAAATGCCATATCTGAATCATCCACTAATTATTCTTTAGGAATTTCTACAATTCATTCCCAATAACATTCTGGCCATAATACGGAACTTGTTGTCCAGAAGTGCTCCTATCCAAGCTGTTCCAGTAGAGCTGCAACACTGGCATCTAGACACGAATGTGGAAAATTGCCCAGGTATGTCCCTTACACAAAAAAACAGATCAAATCTAACTCTGCCCACTCAGTCTATTTTTGACCATCAGTAAAGTGATGGAAGCACATCAACAGTGCTTTCAAGCAGCACTTGCTCACCAAAAACTCAATGCTCAATGGAGTTCTGCCAGGGTCATTTAGTTCCTGACATCAGTACAGCATTGGTTCAAATATGAACAAAAAAGAGCTGAATTCCAGAGGTGAGATGGGAGTGACAGCCTTTGACATGAACACCACATTTCACCAGGTGTGGCATCAAGGAGCACAGTAAAACTACAGTTTCTGCTGGTTGGAGTCATACCTGTCATAAAGGAAGACCATTCTGGTTGTTATCTCAGCCCTAGGATGTCTCTGAGAGGGTTCCTCAAGTTAGTATCCGAGCACCAAACATCTTCAGCTGTAACATCAATGTCCTTCCCTCCATTATAAGGTCTGAAGTGGGGAGATTCACTGATGATTTACTCTGCTGAACACTGTGCAATGCTTTGAGTCCAGTGACTCTTCATCAGATGAACAGTCATCAGGTTCAAACCACTAACTTTGTCCCACAGATGCTGCCAGACCTACTGAGGTTTTCCAGCAATCTCTGTTTTTGTTTCAGACCTCCATAGCCCACAGTTCTTGGTTTTATTTTACCATTTATGACTTGTCAGATACTGAAGTAGTATCCAACTGAAACAAGACCTGGACAATATCTAGCCTTGAACTGATACATTCCACTCAAGTGCTAGGCAATGACCATTGCACAGGAGAAAATATAACCGTTGTAGCTTGACTTTCAATGGCATTACCATCACTGGATCCTTTCTATCAACATCTTGGGTGTTAACATTGACTGGAAAATGAACTGAACTAGCCATATAAATACAGTGGCTACAACAGCAAGTCGGAAACTAGGAATGCTGCGGCAAATCATTCACATTGTGACTCCCAAATCCTGTCCATCATTTACAGGACACAAGTCAAGAGTGTGATGAAATACTCTCCACTTGCCTGGAGAAGTGCAGTTCTAACAACCCTCAAGAAACTTGACATCATACAGGGCAAAGCAGTCGATGACAAACCTCATAAAAAATTTTGCACAAATTTACATCTTAACTCACAAATATTTAACATTTGACAATGCCACTATGTCAGATATACATGCAAATATTACCTTTATAAAAACATCTTCAATCTTTGATTGAAGTTTAATTCTACAAAAGCAATGTAACAATGATGCAATGATAAAGCAAGTATTCAAAATTGTATCATGTAACATTACATGCTTAACATCACGCAATATCAACATCATGCGATATGATAAATGCAATTTAACTTAAACTAACCTTTTTCAGCAAATTTGTATATGGCTTCACAGGCTTTAAGCAAAATTTCATCTTCTAGTGAATCCAGCATAAGAACGACAGTCTGCACGTTTTTGCTCTCAATAATAAGTGAATTAAACTGTTGAAGACAGTAGAGTTTATTTGTGAGCATATTTAAATAGTCTATCACTGCAAGAAATTAATAAACATCATCGGTGCAATATCCATTGTGTGTGCATTACCCGTCGAACCATGTTTAACACATCTATCAGATGAAAAACTTATTAGAAGGCCTATTGCTCTCAATGTTCAGAAACATGGTAAAAGTGTAAATTTCAAACGATGTGTAGCAGAAGATATAATTTGTTAATGTAAATATTATTTATTAAAATATTCCTGATCAAATAGGATTAGCACAAATAAATCAATGTTACAGACTAAATTCTTTGTAGTTTAATTATTATTTCTAAAGTGCACAGAAAAAGAACTATTAAAATGATTTTTGTAACCTCTGCTGTTTTTTAAAAAATACTAGAACAAAGGAATAAAATCCTTTATTCTATTTTCTGTGAAGGAGATGTATATTGAGTCAAGTAGTTTGGGCTGCATTCAAACTTCTCTGGTTCGGACGATGTCAAATGTTTTGAGTGCTGTGCAGGTTGAGTCATATATATTCCAATGGCTAGGTTGTAATTCTCCCAGCTCCAGCTTTACTGCTGGCTGAGTGGTTTTGAAGGACTAAGAAGTGATACATTCATTACAGGGTACCAAGCCTTTGTCCTGCTTGTGCTACCATGGGATTGATATGGTAAGGCCAGTTACATTTTTGTTGAATGGTGACCAGAAATCCCTAACCACACCACATTGCTGATGATGGGGTATGCAGTAATGGTGATGCCATTGAAGGTCAAGGGAGAAATGGCTTTTTCCAGCTTGTGACAGTGAATACCTGGCATTTACACCATACAAATGTTACCTGTCAGTTTTCAGTATAATTCTGAATGCTACTTAGGTTGAGCTGTAGGCTGATGCTGGCTCTATTATCATAACAGTTTTGAATGGAACTGAACAGTGGAATTACTAACAAACAGCCCAACCATGACCTTATTGTGAAAAGAAGGTCAAGGAGAAAACAAGTGAACATTCAAATAAAAGCAAAATACTGCAGTTGCTGGAAATCTGAAACAAACACAAAAAGTTCCAGAGAGACTCAACAAATCTGGCAGGATATGTGGAGAGAGAAACAGAGTTAACACTTCAAGTCTAGTGTGACTCTTCTTCAGAACTCAGAATTCCCTCCCTAACAGCATTGTGGGTCTATCTGTAGCACATAAACTGCAGAAGTTCAGGAAGGCAGCTCACCATCACTTTCTCAAGGGCAGCTAGTGCTGGCCAGCCTATGACACACATGTCCCACAAGAAAATGAAAAATAACTGAAAGGGCTTGGAAAAAGAGGGAATTTTTTTTAAACTTTTGATGTGGATGGGGTGGGGGTAAGAGAAGCAAGGAGAACAGATTCCAAGAGGCTCCAGTTCAAAAGGCAAAGGAGTTATTAACTGTGGAGAAAGAGAACAAAAGACTTGAAATGAATGTAAATTAAAGCATGAAAGGGAGAAAATGGGTCCTCTCTGAATGCTGAACATTGCTGAGCCAAGGATCCTTCCCTGAGGAACTGCACTGAAATTCTGGGGTTCTAATGACTGTTGTTTGGTAGCTATATCAATGTGTTAGGTGTGATACCAGTTATCAGTATATTTCCCCATCTTACAAGCAGGGGTGAATCTTAGCTCAAAAATACAAGTGCCAGTTTCACTGAGTTTCATGGAGGGCTTCTCTCCATGAACTCTTGCAAGTTCTCTCACTGCATCTTACCAGCTTCATTAATTCAGAGACAGTAATAACTGATGATGCTGGAGTCAGAAATAACACAGTGTGGAGCTGGAGGAACTCAGCAGGCCAGATAGCATCAAAGGAGCAGGAAAGTTGATACTTCGGGTTGGGACCCTTCCTCAGAAATGGGGGAGGGGGAAGGGAGCTCTGAAATAATTAGAGGGAGGAAGGGTGGGGCTGGGGAAGATAGGTAGGATGGTGATAGGTAGGCAGTGGTGGGGATTGGTGAGTGAGGTGGGAGGAGCAGATAGGTGGGAGGAGCAGATAGGTGGGAGAGAAGATGGACAGATTGTGTCATTGAGATCACTGGGTTGTAGGCTGTCAAGGTGGAATATGAGGTGCTGTTCCTCCAGTTTCCGAGTGGCGTCATTGTGACACTGGAGGAGACCCAGGGTGGACATGTCGTCCAGGGAGTGGGAGGGGGAGTTGAAATGGTTCACAACCGGAAGGTGTTGTCGTTTGTCATGAACAGGGCTCAGAGGCTCTACAAAGCGGTCTCCAAGCCTCCCCGTGGTCTCACTGATGTAGACAAGGCCACATTGGGAGCAGCAGTTGCAATACACCACATTGATGGATGTGCAGGTGAACCTCTGTTTGATGTGAAAGGTTTGTTTGGTGCCTTGGACGGAGGTGAGGGGCAGGTATGGTCGTGGTATGACGCACTGACCTTTACATAGCCAAGGCCAGGTGCCAACACTCTGACACCTCCTCGATTATGACCCCACCTCGACCACCAAAACATCATCTCCCTGATCATCCATAACCTTATCACCTCAGGTGACCTCCCGCCCACAGCCTCCAACCTCATCGTTCCCCAACCCCACACCGCCCGTTTCTATCTCCTTCCCAAAATCCACAAACCTGACCTGTCCCGGCCGACCCATTGTCTCTGCCTGCTTCTGCCCCACTGAACTTATCTCCTCTTACCTTGATTCTATTTTCTCCCCCCAGCCCAGGAACTCCCCATCTACATCCAGGACACCACCCACGCCCTCCACCTCCTCCCAGACTTCCAATTCCCTGGCCCCCAACACCTCATCTTCACTATGGACATCCAATCCCCGTACACTTGCATTCCTTATGCAGATGACCTAAAAGCCCTCCGGTTCTTCCTCTCCCGCAGGCACAACTAGTCCCATTCCACCGACACCGATACCCTCATCCGCTTAACCAAACTCATCCTTACCCTTAACAACTTCTCCTTCGACTCCTCCTACTTCCTACAGACTAGTGGTGTGGCCATGGGAACCCACATGGATCCAAGCTATGCCTGCCTCTTTGCAGGATCCGTGGAACAGTCCATCTTCCATAGTTACACTGGCACTATCCCCCACCTCTTCCTCCGCTACATTGATGACTATATCGGCGCTGCCTTGTGCTCCCATGAGGAGCTTGAACAATTCATCAACTTTACTAACACCTTCCACCCCAACCTCAAGTTCATCTGGACCATCTCTGATACCTCTGTCTCCTTTCTGGACCTCTGTCTCCATCTCTGGTGACCGCCTCAAAACCGGCATCTATTTCAAGCCCACCAACTCCCACAGCTACCTAGACTACACCTCCTCTCACCCACTTTCCTGCAAGAATATGATCCCCTACTCCCAATTCATTGGCCTCCGCCACATCTGCTCCCAAGATGGGGCATTTTCCACTCCCGAACATCCCAGATGTCCTCTTATTTCAAGGACCGCAACTTTCCCACTTCAGTGGTCGAAAATGCTTTCGACCGCATCTCTTGCGTTTCCCGCACCTCTGCCCTCACATTCCCTCTCCGCAACAAAAACAAAAACAGAAGCTCCCTTGTCCTCACATATCACCCCACTATCCTCCGTATTCAACGTATCATTTTCCACCACTTCCAACACCTGCAATCCAACCCCACAAACAAAGATATATTTCTGTTCCCACCCCATCTGCCTTCCGTAGGGTCCGCTCTCTCCGTGACTCCCTCGGCGGCTCCACACTCCCTACTAGCCGCACCACCCCCGGCACCTTTCCCTACAACCGCAGGAAGTGCTACACCTGCCCCTACATCTCCCCCCTCACCTCCATCTAAGGCACCAAACAAATCTTTCACATCAGACAGAAGTTCACCTGCACATCCATCAATGTGGTCTATTGCATCCGCTGCTCCTAATGTGGCCTTCTCTACATCGGTGAGACCAAGCGGAGGCTCAGAGACCGTTTTGTGGAGCACCTGTGCTCTGTTCTCAACAAACGACAACACCTTCCGGTCGCGATCCATTTCAACTCCCCCTCCCACTCCCCGGGTGACATGTCCATCCTAGGCCTCCTCCAGTGTCATAATGACGCCACCCGGAATCTGGAGGAGCAGCACCTCATATTCTGCCTTGGGAGCCTACAACCCAATAGTCTCAATATGGACTTTACCAGTTTCAAAATCTCCACAACCCTCCCTCTCATCCCCACCTCCTTGACCTGACACAAACTGTCCATCTTCTCTCCCACCTATCTGCTCCTCCCACCTCACTGACCAATCCCCACCTGCACTACCTGCACTCACCTATCACTATCCTACTTACCTTCCCCAGCCCCACCCCTCCTCTCTCTATTTATTTCGGAGCTCACTTCCCCGTCCCCCCATTTCTGAAGAAAGGTCCTGACCCGAAACGTCAACTTTCATGCTCCTCTGATGCTGCCTGGCCTGCTGTGTTCCTCCAGCTCCACATTGTGTTAGGACTCCAGCATCGGCACTTCTTACTATCTCTATCTCTACCTATGCCAGTTGTATGACTCCCCGCTTGTCGAATTCTAGCCCTATCCTACCATCACCATACCCAGAACAATTCATCAGTGCTGGAATATCCAAGAATGACTGACAATCCTGGTGCTACTGCCAACTTCAAGAAGCTATTCTGCATGTAGACAAGCTAGTCTGAAGCTGCCCTGCACATTCCCTGATATTATCCCTGGACAAGGCAGAGAAGGCACTGTATTGTGAACAGGGACCTGAAGGCCCTGATGGTCAAGGTGGCGCAGAAACAGGAAGTCTTCCTACTACAGACCATGTGAGGAGGCTACAACACCAGACCACGCAAACCACGTCCAAGATTGCCATCCAGTGTAAAGCTGTCTGGGGAAATGCACAGAAATGTAGGAAGAAGGTCAATGCCCTTTTCCACGCCACTTACATAAGTGCTACCATCTTCTGTCCGAGGCCTCTCAGTCAGTCTGTCTCTGGTACTGTACCCACCTCCCACCAAGCTTATATTCTACTAATTCCCCCTACTGTCTGCAACATCTTCCTCACTCACTCCCAAACACCCCAAACCCTGACACCACTACTCTGTATGCCTTCTGCACTGCATATTCACTCATTCAGGACATCTCTCCATCTGCACCAAAAGTAAAGCTGTGTTTTTATCTCCCTTATAAGATGCCTCTCTCAGGAGGAAACCAACCTAAAATAGGGCAGAAAGAGTCAGGGATGGGTGGTGGGCTACATGGCAATTGGCTCCTTACCCCTTATGAATTATCGAAGGACTGATGACAATATGACAAGCTTCCTGATTTTTTTTTGTATACTCAATAGCCACTAATAAGCAATAATTTTCCTTAATAGGCATTCATCACCGTCTAGTGAGAATCTCTTCTTGGTATCTGGAACTTAGTTAAAAATTGCAACAAGTTGCGTCCAACATTTGAGATGGGCCCCACAGAGTTCTACCAGATTTCCCACCATAGCCCACATCAGGCCACCAAGAAGATTCAACCCACTGATTTCATTTTATTGGGCATCCTATTCCCACCTCTCCTCCATCATTCAACTCTATAGTTCATACCTGCATGAAAGCTGCAGTGAGATTTGGAGTCAAACATTTAACCTTTTCACAGATTAGTGTCTATATTTTGCACATCTATTTGTGAAGTCTCTTGACATTATTTTTATCAAAGGTGTCAGTTACGTTGTTGTGTAATTTCTTATGAGGCAGTCCAGTAGGATTGAGGTTGACTTGTTCCCCTTGCAGTTTGGATTCTGAGCAATATTCCTGATTTTTTTTTTAATCTTCTGCATGGATCTCCAAGATTCATACATGATAGTGACTTTCAGAACGAAAATGGCATTAGAAGTTCAATCACTATGCAAGGAACCCTTGAAGCGGCTACGCGCAGCCACAAAACTGAGAGGTCGATGAATTGCAGGGGTTTGGCGGGACGGTGGGGGGAGGGCGGAAGTGGTGGTGGTGAAGAGTCTTATAGAGACTTATAAAATTCTAACAGGACTGGACAGGAAAGATGTTCCCAATGGTGGGTGTGTCAAGAACCAGGGGACACAGCCTGAGGATTCGGGATGGACCATTTAGGATGGAGATGAGGAGACATTTCTTCACCCAAAGAGTAGTGAGCCTGTGGAATTCATTACCACAAGGAAAGAGTTGACGCCAAAATGCTGAATCTGTTCAAGAGGCAGCTAGATGTCGCACTTGGGGTGAATGGGATCAAAGGTTATGGAGAAAGCAGGATTAGGCTACTGAGTTGGATGATCAGCCATGATGGTAATGAATGGTGGAGTGGGCTCGAAGAGCCAAATGGCGTCCTCCTGCTCCTATCTTCAATGTTTATACATAGTGTTGGTTGTGAGATGTTGAAATCCAATGTTTGATCTGCAGAATCTGTCACATATGGGCAGGTAGTATTTGGTGAGTCACGCATGGGGGTTTCCTGCCATTATTGAGTTCTAAGTAGAGCAGTTGATTCAGAAGTCCGAAGTGTCAGATGTACAAACAAATTGTCCCAACCAGTGCACCTGAGTTTGGGTAATTAGCACTTCAATGCTGGTTATGTTGCCTTAGGAGAAGATGCTACTATTGGACTGCCTTTCTGTCTATTCAATTTGGAGAATCGTGAGAAAGCATCATTGATAGTACTTCTTCAATACTTTTATGTGTTTTCTATAGGTTGTCCAATCTCCATGATATGTAAGAATTCAGAGATCACTGTTGTCTTGAAAACCATGACCTTACTCCCAGATTAAAGGTCCTCAAATATTCATTTCCCCAGTCAGCCAAAGGCTGAGCTGGCATACTGGAAGCAACAATGAATTTTGTCATATATGTCTGCCTTCATCAAGAGAAGGCTCCCAAGATATGGAGAATGGTACTCATTTTATAGGATCTCACCACTGATCTTAATCGAAGTGGGGAGGTGTGTTGTTAGAGTTTTGGATGAGGATCTTTGTCTACCAGTTATTTAGAGAAAAACCCATTTTCTGATAAGCTTCACAAAAGAAATTGACTGACCTGGAGCTCAGATTTTGAGTAAGTGGGCACACAGGTGTACTGAAGTTCAATTACTGAATTTGGAGTCATTTTGGATTGATGGCAGTTACTCTATATGATCCTAATGCCTGTGGTTAATTTTCTGGAGGTGATGTACAATATTGCAAGAAGCAAGAATGGAGAAAAAGGCGAATGCTATATGGACTTATTTGAAACCAGTTTTTACCAAAATGATGTCTGTGGTAGTTCTGTTGGTGAGCATCATGGCTTGCATGTTATCTTGGAATAGACAGAGGATGGCAAAAAATTTCTGAGGGCGGTCAAAGTTGAGGAAGATACTCAATTTGTTTTGCAGGTGATTGAGTCAAAGTATTTTCTGAGAGCAGGAAATTGTACATACAGTGCTCGGTGCTGCTGTTCCTTACGTTTTCCTATAAATGAATACTATGTTTGTTGTATAAATTAGACAATGCAGCTGAAAGGCTGGTGAGGGGAATTAGCATAGACAATGTGTTGGGATGCTGTCTGCCTGAATCTACAGGCTTTAAAAAAAAAATCAGCCTAGATTTAGAAACAAAGAAATTCCCCATGTGATTTATTTGACTCGGATTATCTAGTGGACAATATTCTCTCTAGGGGTTCCACAGCAACCCTAAAGACTCCACATGCAAGTCAGTCCCTTGTGCATAGCCAAGATAAAAAAAAGGGGCTGAAAACTTAAATAAATCGCCTATGCAATCCAAAAACAATTAGAAGGTATGTTGCTATTGGAACTTAATAAAGCTTCATATGAGGTTTTTTGAAAAAGAATTTAACCTAGATGGAACTAATAGCAGATTAAAACTTATTAGGCAATAAAAACAAAGTTAAACATCAATAAAAAAAAGAGCCTTTCCAGCCAGAGAGATGAATAATGGAGTTTTGGCATGTCTCTATCGAGTCCCTTGCTACTTACACCAATGATAACCATACAAAGGCTCAATGAATTTGTCCAGCTCATTAACTATGACTACAGCATTTTTTTTTTGAACAGCAAAAAAAGCCATCTGGAATTTGGCTTTTGTGGGAAACAAAATTCAAATAAAATGTGGATCTATGCCTGATCACACTTCTAAATATCAGTTACTCAAACATCTTGCACAACTAGTCAGGATGTGAAATATTTCAGTAAGTGACTAATGGTTTTGTGGACATTTATATTTAAAACAATAACTTACTGCATCTTTTGGAGATGCCTCAATTTCCTTCTTTTGTTTCTTACCCATCCTATGTGAAAGAAAAGTACAGATATACATGAATGAATTATTTTACATTAGTAAACATCTGAATAAATGTTTAATCTAGTCAGAGTATTAAGAATACTTCATACAAATCCCCATAAAGTACAAACATGTGAGCAGAAGAACATTTGAATCAGGAGCAGCAGTAGTCATTGCTGCAGTAAACAACTCATGCCTGCCCCACTATTCAAAAACATTATACCTGATCTCATTATGACAAGAGCTCATCTCAATAACTTTTCTCCCCCTAACTTTTTGGGAATCTCTCTAACTCTGCCTCAAATTTTAAAGTTTCTGCTTCCATCACCTTTTGATGAAAAGACTCCCAAAATTTCAGGACCTTATGTGAGAAAAAAATTCTCCTAACCTCCGCTTCAAATGGGCAACCTATTATTTTTAAAAGGTGAGCCCTAGGTCTAGATTCTCTCACAAACAAAATATCCCATTTCATATTCACCACATCAGACTCCCTCAGGATCTTATATGCTTCATCAAGTCCCCTCTTCCTCTTATAAACACCGGTAGATATAAACTTAACCTGTCCAACCATTCCTCATAATACAACTCACCTATTCCGATATGACAGAATCACAGAATTGTTATCGTGCTAAAGAAGGCCACTCAGCTCATTCTGTTCGCACTGTCTTTCTAAGCATTTTAATTTATTACCAACCTCCTGCCTTTTCAGAAGAGGCAACATATCAGACTCAGTAAGTTAACTCTGTTTCTCTTTGAACAGATGCTGCCTGCTGAGTTTCTCCAGCACTTTCTATTTTCACAGATACATCAAAGTCTTTCTGTTTTTGCACGTCCTTTAGAATAGTACAGTTCATTTTATACTGTCTCTCTATGTTCTTTGTACTAAAATGCATCAGCTCACACTTCTCCATATTGAACTTCGTCTGTCACATATCTTCCCACTCCACCATGTCAATGTCCTTTTGAAGTTCTACACTGTCCACTTCACAGTTTACAATTCCCCAGAATTTTGTGTCATCTGCAAACTTCGAAAACATCCCCTGCATACATCTAGATCATTTATACATGCGCATCAGGGAAAGATCCCATTAAAATCTCACTAATGTCCTTCAGAGAAGGAACTCTGCCATCCTCACCAAGGCTGGTCTCATGTGAGTCCAGACCAATAGCATAGCAAGCCATTCAGTTGTACCAATCGCTACAAAATCTCAAGAAATGAAACCAGACAGAACACTTGGCATCAACCTAGGCACCAGAAAAGACAACAGCAGATAAAACCCTATCAATCCTGCATAGTCCTCTTTACTAACATCTGGGGGCGAGTGCCAAAATTGGGAGAGCTGTCTCACAGACTGGTCAAGCAATGGTCTGACACAGGCATACTTACAGACAATATCCCAGACACCACCATCACAATCCCTGGATATGTCCTGTCCCACCGGTAGGAAATACCCAGCAGAGGTCGCGGCATAATCGGAGGGATATGCCCTGGAGTCCTCAACATTGACTCCAGACTACATGAAGTCTCGTGGCTTCAGGTTAAACATGGGCAAGGAAATGTCTTGCTGATTACCATGCACTGTCCTCCTTCAGCTGATGAATCAGTACTCCTCTATGTCGAACACACTTAGCGGAAGCACTGAAGATTGCAAGGGCTCAAAATGTACTCTAGGTAGGGAATTTCAATGTCCACCACCAAGTGTGGCTCAGCAGCAGTACTATTGATCGAGCTGCTCCGATCCTAAAGGACATAACTGCTGGACTGGGTCTTCAGCGGATGGTGAGGAAATGAACAAGAGGTAAAAAACATACATGACCTCATTCTTGCCAATCTGCCAGCTGCAGATGCATTTATCCATGACAGTATAGATAACAGCGACCACCACACAGGCTTCCACATTGAGAATAACCTCCATCATGTTGTGCAGCACTATCACTGTGCTAAAAGGAACAGAGTTCAAACAGATCTAGCAACTCAAGACTGGCCATCCATGAGGTGCTGTGGGCCATCAACACCAGGAGAATTGCAATCCAGCACAATCTGTAAACGCATGGTCCGGCATATCCCCCACTTAACTGTTACCATCAAACCAGGGATCAACCTTGGTTCAACAAAGTGTGCACGAGGGCATGCCAGGAGCAGCACCAGGCATAACTGAAGATGAGGTGTCAACCTGGTGAAGCCACCAAACAGGACTACTTGCATGTCAAACAGCATAAGCAGCAAGTGATAGACAAAGCTAAGCGATCCCACAACCATGGATTCGATCTAAGCTCTGCAGTCTGCCACATTAAGTTGTGAATGTTGGTGGACAATTAAACAACTCACTGAAGGAGGAGGCTCCACAATATCCCCATCCTCAATGATGCAAGAGTCCAGCACATCAGTGCAAAAGATAACGCTGAAACTTTCACAGCATTCTTCTGCCAGAGTGCCATGTAGATGATCCAGCTTGGCCTCCTCCAGTGGTCCCCAGCATTACAGATACTAGTTTCAGCCATTTGATTCACTCTATGTGATATCAAGAAACAGTTGGAGACACTGGATGGTGCAAAGGCTAGAGGCCCTGACAACATTCCAGCAAGTACTGAAGACTTCTGGTCCAGAATTTGCTGCTCCCCTAAACAGGCTGTTCCTGTACAGATACAACACTGGCATCTACCCAACATTATGGAAAATTGCCCAGGTATGTCCTGTACATAAAATGCAGGACAAATCCAACCTGGCTAACTACCGCCCCATCAGTCTACTGTTGATCATCAGTCAAGTAGTGGAAGGTGTCATCAGGCAGCACCTGCTCAGTAATAACCTGCTCAGTGATGCCCAGTTTGGGTTCTGCCAGGGCCACTCAACCTCGTCACAACCTTGTTTCAAACATGGACAAAGAGCTGAATTCCAGAGGTGACAGCACTTGACATCAAGTCTGCATTCGACTGATTGTGGCATCAAGGAGCCCTAGCAATACTGGAAGCAACGGGTATCAGGGGGCAAACTCTCTCGTGGTTGGAGTCATACCTGGAACATAGGAAGATGGTTGTTTTGTTGGAGGTCAGTTATCTCAGCTCCAGGACAGCTCTACTGGTGTTCGTCAGGGTAGCGTCCTCGGCCCAACCATCTCTGGCAGCTTCATCAATGTCCTTCTCTCCATTAGAAGGTCAGAAGTGGGACTGGTTGATGATGATTGCACAATGTTCAGCACCATTTGCTACTCCTCAGGTACTGAAGCAGTCCATTTCAAATGCAACAAGACCTGGACAATATCCAGATTTGAGCTGACAAGTGGCAAGTGACATTCGCGCCACACAAATTCCAGGCTATGGCCATCACCAATAAGAAACCATCTAACCACCGCCCCTTAACATTCAAGGGTATTACCATTACTGAATCCCCCATCAATATACCAGGTGTTACTATTTGTCAGAAAATCAACTAGACTCACCACATAAACAAAGTGACTACAAGAGCAGACCAGATGCTACGAATACTGTAGCAAGTAGTTCACCTCCTGACTCCCCAAAGCCTGTCCACCATCTGCAAGGCACAAGTCAGGAGTGTGATGCAGTCCAGAATGGATGCAGTCCCAACAACATTCAAGAAGCTTGATACTAACCAGGACAAAGCAGCCCGCTTGACTGGCAGTACACCCACAAGCATCAACTCCCTCCACCACCAATGCTCAATAGCAGCAGTATATGTTATCGACAAGATGCATTGCAGAAATTCACCAAAGGTCTTCAGACAGCACGTTCCAAACCCACGACCACTTCCATCTCGAAGGACAAGGGCAGCAGATATATGAGAACACCAACACCTTCAAGTACCCTCCAAACCACAAACCATTCTAACTTGGAAATATATCACTGTTCCTTTTCACTGTCGCTCGGTCAAAATATTGGAATTTCCTCCCTAATGGTATTGTGATTCAACCCACAGCAGGCAGACAGCAGCAGTTCAAGAAGTTAGCTCACCACCACTTTCTCAAGGGCAACTAGGAACAGGCAATAAATGCTGGCCAGTGAGCAATGCCCACATCCCACAAGTGTATATAAAAAAACTACAAAACCTTCTTCCAGCCTGAAAAATATCCAAAAACTGTTACTCTCCACTTACTATTATTAGCTAATTTTGTATTAACGTTGCTATCATCCCTTTCATTCCTTTCTTTCATTTTCATGGCACTGCAGGTTGTGCCTCTTGGTAACCTGGTTCTAGCAGTTCTGGATGCCTAACTCTATCCCTGGTTGGGAAGAGGTTGCTGCTTCAAGATGTCATTCTGTTAAGATGTATCTCTCCAAAATAGCTGTTTTCAATCACAATCAAAATAGAATAGTTGTAAACATTAATTTGAATGAATTATTGTTCCACAAAAGCAAAGTCAATGGTGGTGAAATTCCTTGAGATATCCATTCTCTATCCTGTTCAACATTGCAGAAGCTTTTGAGTATTCACACTTTTTGGCGTCTAAATGGACTAGTCTGGAATCCTTGAATTATTTAATGACATCTGCAATTGATTTTTAAGACAAAACAGTCTGCAGTTGAATCCAAAAGAGAAAAGTCATGCAGTTAGAGAGAATGTTGGTCCCAAATAATTCTTTATTAATTTACTTATCTTTACTAAAGTGTGTTCTTGTTCCCCAATACATAAAACTTCAAATTTTCCTCCTCATTTTTATATAATTTTATTCCGTCCCTCTGCAACCTCCCTACAATTACAGAAATTTCTGCATTCTTTGGTCCTCTGGCACTAGTTTTTAGTATATCTGTATTCCCTTCACCATTACTACCTCCATCTGAAAGTCTCACCTTAAACCACTCCAACTGTAAAAGTTTTTTCAATATGTATAATTTCAATAATACATTCAGGCACACCATTCTAATAATTCAGTCTGTGACTTTGCTACACTAGCCTTTCTATTTCAATTTGTAAAGTGCTTCAGAACATTTTCTATATTGAAGTTGCTATCTAATTGCAAGTTGTAATGTGTACTGTGTCTCAGTGGTTAG